CCCAGCCCCATCCCAGCTGTGATGAAGGAACTGAACTCTACTCCAGCCCAAACCCTCGCAGTGACTTCAGGGAGACCACTGAGAAAAAGCCTTTTCATGAAAAAGAAACTATTTAAGGTTATATAACACGAAACATTTATATAACATATAAAACATTTATAAAACATAACTATTTATAACAACGGGAGGGAAACTCCCGGAGCAGGGTGATGGTGCCAGATGTGGCACAGCTGGAGCACCGTGTCCCCCTGACCCAGCACACAGGGATGGCACAGGGTGCCCCAGCTGCCTCCTTTTGGCATTGCTGTTGCCCCCCAGTATCTGTTTCATGAGGTGGCTCTTGCTGGAAAGGAGCCTGGGGCTGTGTGGGACCCACAAGCCTCCCCACCAACCGATACATAATTAGAAAAATAACAATAAAAGTGAGATCCAATCCAGCCTGGGGATGGTAACACTGCTCTGCGCGATGTGGTCGTGCTGGAGGGGGGGGGTGGCACAGGGTGCCCCAGCTGCCTCCTTTTGGCATTGCTGTTGCCCCCCAGTATCTGTTTCATGAGGTGGCTCTTGTGGAAAGGAGCCTGGGGCTGTGTGGGACCCACAAGCCTCCCCACCAACCGATACATAATTAAAAAAATAACAATAAAAGTGAGATCCAATCCAGCCTGGGGATGGTAACACTGCTCTGTGCGATGTGGTCGTGCTGGACGGGGGGGTGGGACCCCAGGCTATGGGTTGATGTCCCGGGATGTGGCACTGGGGGATGGGGGGAGCTGGCCTGGGGGTCACTAGGACACGGGGCAGCTCCTTCGGCCCCGCTTCCCGCGGCGCCGGGGGCTGCGGCCCTGGCGGGGAGCAGTGGCTGTCACGGGGATGTTCTGGAGCACGTCGTGCAGCGTGAACATGCTGAAGGAGATCTGCTCGTAGGGCGACCTCGTCCCGTTCTCGTAGAGGCAGGCGAAGGCGATGGCCGTGCCACCGGCCACCGGCGCCTCCGCGTAGGGCAGCTCCATGTAAGCCAGGTCTGAGTAAGCACTCGGGCCCTCGTAGATGACCCAGGGCTCTGTCCAGCTCTCTGCATCCCTGGGGAAGGTGCTCAGGTGAACCCCCATGTTGACCCGCAACATGGAGCTGGTGGGGTGGGAGTAGAGGATCCATGTCGGCGCTTGGAAGAAGGGCGTGGGGCTGGGGGTTGCTGCAGGGTCCCCCTGGGCCAAGGTGACACTGTGGGCTTGTTGGTGATGCCCTGGGGTAGGACAGTCCTCATCAGGCTCGTTTGGCTCGTGGTGGCTGCTGGTGGCCACAGTGGGCAGCCCATCACCTGCTGCCTTCTGGGTGGGCAGGTACCGAAACCCCTGGAACATCCTGGGGAGCAGCCGTCGAGCTGAGCCCCGGAGGGGCAACACAGAGTCCTGGGAGATGGTGGGGACATACACAAATGGTGCTGGGAAGCCGATGACACTGCCATGACAGCCATGGGGGGGCTCGACCAGCCGCTGGACCAGCTGCCCCCTGTGGAAGACGGCCCCGTCATCCGTGCTGAGCGCCTGGACCCTGAAGCCCAGCGGGCTGCGGGCGTTGCAGTACAGGACGTTGGATCCATCCTCCTCATCCACCGAGACCAGCTGGCACTCGCCCGTCTGCAGGTTGGGGATGAACTCCCCGAAGCGCCAGCCGTGGCCGTGGTCGTCGCTGTAGAAGGCGAAGGAGTGCGGGGTGGTCTTGCAGAGCTGCCCGAAGCACTCCTTGCAGTCGATGTGGTAGCTGTAGGCGGGCACCAGCAGCCGGCCGGAGCGCAGCTGGATCCCGTGCCCAGGGCCCAGCGCGAACGTCGCCCAGTCTGCGGAGCGGAGACGGGATGCGGTGAAGGTGGAATGGGCAAACAGCGACCACCACGGTGCCCTTCCATGCCCAGTGTGGAAGGGTCTCCAGGGCTTCCCCTGCCCAGCCAAGCCAGGTGGTGGGGTGGGAGAGCAGCCTCATGCTGCCCTGTTGTCCTCACACATGGTCCTACCCTTGGCTGTGGGGAGGTCTCCATCTTCTTCCTACCCCAAGCGATATAGATACTCCCTCCACCCCCTCTCCCCTCAGCTTAAGGTTCTCTTCCACCCTCTTGGAAGCCTGTGGGCTTCCTACTCCAAGGTCACCTCCAGCCACACCACAGGTGGCTCCAGGAGGCCAAAACCCACGGTCACCTCCTTGCTGGCCATCCTTCCCCCTCCCCAGCCCTCTCCAGCTGGGTACCTTTGATGGCTGCACCAATGACCTGCTGTGTCAGGTCCGTGGCTGTGCTCCAGCTCAGGCCCTGGTCGGCACTGGTGACGCAGCAGAGGCGGGTGACGTTCTGGCCAGTGACAATCTGGTAGGCTTCGGGCGTCCTGCCCAGCACCGTGATGAAGAAGAGGAAGAGGGTGCCCGTGAATTCATCGTACAGCGGGCAGGGGTTCATCGACCGGTGGTGCTGCAGCGTCGCCGTCTCCAGCACGCGCATGTCTTCCCACTGCCCAGGGAGGAGGAGCAGGAGGAGGAGGAGGAAGAGGAAGAGGAAGAGAGAATGGAAAGGGATGAGACAGGTGAGGAACATCCTACTTTTTCACCCAGAGAAACTCTGGCTGCCCTGTCCCTGGAAGTGTTCAAGGCCAGGTTGGATGGGGCTTGGAACAACCTGGTCTCTAGTGGAAGGTGTCCCTGCACAAGGCGGGGGGTAGAACGAGATGACCTTTGAGGTCCCTTCCAACCCAAACCACTCTGGGATTCCATGATTCCCCTCACCCACCCAGCCTCCCCCCGCCACGCAGCCGCCTCCAGGAGCTCAGCTGTGCCACACACAGGCAGCGAGGACAACCACCCACCCGTCCCCACGTCCCCAGCCCCGCGTGTCCCCCCAGCCTGGGGTGTGCCCCCCGTCCCACCTCCACGTAGCTGCCGTAGATGGTGCCGCGGCGCAGCACCAGCAGGTTGGCGTGGGCGTCGTCGGCGCTGAGCCGCTCCTCGGCGAACGCCAGCAGCTTGGCCACACAGGGCAGGTAGAGCAGGGCGGGCACGCGGTACGTGACGCCGTTGGATTCCCTCTCAAAGAGCACGGTCCGCGCGGGGAAGTGCCGGGAGCCCATGGGGTCTGCAGCAAAAGGATGCAGCCCCACCACAGTGGGTCGGTGAAGGCGGGGGATCGGCTGCTGGGCACGGCCAGGGGCACTGGGTTGTCCTTGGAAGGGTTGGGGATTTAATTTGGTGGGTTTGGGCTTGGGGAAGCCCCCAGGGAGCAGGGGCAGGGCTGGGGTGGAGAGAGGCTGAACGTGCACTGCTCTGGTGGGGAGTCCCTGTGGCTCAAAGGTTGGCCACGACTTTGGGTACCAGCAAGGAGGCTGACCTGGGGACTCCAAAATAAAACTAAATAAAATTAAACTGATCTTCAAGATGCTCTTCTGGGAAATCAAGGCCAGTGAGTAAAGGAGCTCCCTGCTCCCTTCAAGTGGGCACTGGGAGGGCAGAGCCCACCTCTGCACACACAGGACCCCCAAATCAGCCTGGGCTCATCAAGAGGGGGTCGGGGAGTGTTTTGTCCTGTACCTCTGGTGCCTCCAGCACAATGTACCCGGTGGGCTCCTTGTTCCCCCCCTCCTTGTTGAGCCTGGGGTGCACAACACAGACCGTGGGGTCCCTGGCCGGGCTGTCCCCGCAGCAGTGGGTGCGAGCTGTCCCCAAGTGCCCTTCCTTTGGGGACAGCAGGAGTGACACCACCATCAGCTGTCCCCAGGTTACATGTCAGCTGTCCCCAGGTTACATGTCTCTACGTGTCCCTGGGGATTATTACCACAGGAAGAGATGGGCACCCCACTCCAGGCACAGCTGGAGCAGCCAAGGCTGACTTTCACCAGTGGTTTAATCAGGAGCTTTTGCTGATCTAACCCCCCCCAGAGAAAGTGAAGGCACTCACCGGGTCCTGCTCGGCTGGGCTGTCCCCTCTGTCCCTCGGCCCCAGCAGCTCCCGCCGTTGCTGGGTTTCTGCAGAGCCGTCTCCTCACTGCTTGGCTGCCACCCCTCTCCCCTTGCAGGGTCCCCCCACCGATGGGTCACGGGGCTCCCGCGGTGGTGGTGGCCAGGAAAAATCCCTGAGTCAGCAGTGGAGCTGCTGGTGCAGTGCCCGTGGCACAAAGGCACCGTTATGGGCCCGGGCACAGCCGGGGCCCCGCGGCTGCTGAGCCTCCTTCTTTGGACCCCGGGGATGGGATGTGAGGGGAGCCATGATGGGGGAATTACATCTCCTACCTCAGTTTCCCTCCTCCTGCAGGTTGGGAGGTGCTGCAGCCCATGTTCACCATGGTCCACCCTGCTGTGAGCTCCCCAGCCTGGGGGTTGTGGTCTGGAGGGTCCCAGCCCTCCCAGGACCCCCAACCTTCCCAGGACCCCCAGCCCTCCCACGATCCCCAGCTCCACCCAGACACCCAACCTTCCCAGGACCCCCAGCTCTGCCAGGATCCCCAGCCTTCCCAGAACTCCCAGCCCCCACAGAACCCCCAGCCTTCCCAGGATCCCCAGCCTTCCCAGAACTCCCAGCCCCCACAGGATCACCAGCCTTCCCACGCACCCCACACTGCCCAGGATCCCCACCTGCACACAGGTCAGCTACTAAGAAACTATTTTTACACCTGTCTCTGTCATCAACTTAGCTTAAAGGGCTGGACAAAATCCACAGGGCAGGTCATGGATCGGAAGCTCCAAGGGGAAAACTGACGCAGAGGCTGCAGAACGGCCCCTGAAGGGCCCCTGGGATGGCTCGAGGTGACCACGTGTGGCTCTGGCTGCTCCACCCTGCTGGCACAAACGCCTCCTGAGCCTTGGGTTAAGAGGGTTCCTGGAGCAGGGAACCGTGAAAATGCTGTTAATCTCTGTTGTTGCTGCTGGACACCTGTGCTGTGAGGAGCACAGGTTGCAGGGCAGGTTAACCCCTGCCTCAGCTGCTTCCCTGATGGATTTAAACAGAGTTGAAGAAAATCCTGGGTCTGCTTCCCACCCTGCTCCCCAGACAGCATCCCTCATACTTCCCAGCTGGAGCTGCTGCCCCACAGCTTCAATGTTGCCCTGAGGCAACACTGCCAGCCAAGCAACCCCAGATCCATCCTCCCCATCCCGCCACCCGTGGCCCTGCTGCTGTGGCAGTGCCAGGAACGTTGGTCAAGGTGGCAGCACCAGCCCCGTGGATGTGGTGACCGCTCGTCACCAGTTCCTAACACACCCCTCGGTGCCAACAGTGCCAATAAACTTAGAAGCTGAGCTGGTGTCTCCTGCTTGCACCAGCAGGGGTGGCAGTGGGGACCTGGATGGCACCAGCGTGCCCAAAGCAGTGCCTCACCCCATCCCCTCCTAATCTGTGCCAGAGAGTTCAGCCAACGCAGCAAGGGGAGACCCAACAAACCCTATGCTGATAAAGGCCTTCAGGGATGCTGATCCCAAAGGACCTTCCCTGCCCACAGACCCTCACACAAGAGAGAGGGGCAAAGCCACAAAATGTCCTCCCAGAGGAGCACCAAGGTGTCCCATGTGGGGCAGAGGCTGCCACACCTCGTGACACAGGTGAAAGGAACATCTCACATGCCATGGAAAAAGGCAGCCAGTCAGCATGCCTGGCTTTGGGACAGATGCTTGGGACTCCCATCCCAAAGGCAGCCCCTGCAGTGCATGGTGGTTACTCCATGGTTGGGACATCCAACACGTCTCCTTCTCCTTTGAGAGCTGCATCCCCTCGTTGTGCTCTCCTTGTCTCCCTCCCCCTCCCCTAAACCCAAAAAATCAGGACTTGCTCCAGTGAGCTGTGACCAGACTGGATGTAGTGGTGGATATCAAACGAAATTAAAGCAGGCAAATGATCACACCTGTAATTAATGATTGAGAAGCTGGAATGTCTATGCCAGCTGCAGCCTGCCCAGCACTCCCCAGCTGGGAGCAGGCAGGAAGGATCACACAGGATCTGACCAACGCAGAGCCTTTGGCTCAAGGTCCCCAAAAAGGGACCAACCACCAACTCGGTGACCCTGAACAAAGCCCCCACTGCCTCCCCCCATGCACAAGAGTCCTGTCTTGTGTCAGTCAGTCACATGCCAGACATGGGGTGATGCAAAGCAGTGGGAAGCCACAGCGGGTTGTCATGTGTCCTAGCTGGTATTTGGGAGCTGCATCCTCTCCTGGAGACTGGTCCATGGCAATGGCAACCCCAGCTGCTTCTCCTTCTTGTGTGGGTGTTGGACAGTGTAAAGGTAGGACGTGTACTGGAGCTCTGGAATGACCAGTTTCTGGCAGTTTCTCAGAGTCCTGTTGTCCAAGTCCTGTCTGAGGTTGTACCCCAGGATATTTGCAGCCCCTGACTGGTAAGGCTGGAAAGCTTTGTTCCTGATGTGATCCTTCCCCACTGGCTCCTGCTCCAAGAGACAGGTCTCCATGAGCTCCTTCTGTCTGGTTCGCAGGTGATCCACCTCCTTCTCCAGCACCTCCAGCCCTATGGTCTCCTCAATTCTCCTCCAGAAGCTCTGGTTGAAGTGCAGGTAGAGCTTCCAGTCCAGCGAGCACCACGCTTTTACCCGCTCCTCACTTTCCGGAGTCAAAGTCTGGACAGTGTCCTGACTTCTGGAATTGAGCTTGAAGTAAATCACATCATCCAGATCCCAGCACAAAGTGTGCTTCAAGAGGATCATGGACTCATCAAAGTAATCTGCTATGAGGATGAGGTGGAAGTTCTGCTCGATCTCCTCGAGGATGGCCTGGGTGTACTCTGTGTCGTCCTCCGCGTTGTTGTCGTAGCCAAAGTCAAACCACATGATATTCCTGGCGTGGATGTTCTCCCTGTAATCTGCTGGGTGGTAAAACCTCGTGGGTGATGCCAGGAACTCGTTCACGTCCTTGGAGCTCCTGAAGGCGGGGACATTGTTCTTGAAGTAGATGTAGGAAGACTCCATCAGAGGAATGGGGTTCCTCAGGATGGAGAAGTAGAAGGTGTTGGGTGCCATCACCTTTTGCACCTATTTGTGGGAGGAAGAAGAGGTTATTCCAGAGGCACTGCTGTCCCAGCCAGGTTTCTCTGCAGGTGTTGTGGCTCTTTCTTACCTCCAAGGGGTTAAACCTCAAGTGGTTGCACATGATGTTGTAGTTTTGGCCTATGATTTCAAAATCCTCCACAAAGTGGGCCCTGAAAATCCTCGGGTAGCCGAGGTGGAATTGCTGGCCAGCAGGGAGGGCGACGGTGAGGTTGTACCTCTCTGCAAACCTGAACATGATGTTGAGCACGGTGCTGCTGGCTGTCTTGTGGGTCTTGAGGAACATGACGTTTGTCTTGGCATGGCACGGCGTGGGAGGGGTCAGCAGTGGCTGTTTGAGATTCTGCAGGAAGGCGACAGTTTGGTCCTCGTGGCTGTCGAAGATTCTGCAGGAAAGCGACAGATGGAGCAAGTGGCCTCTCCGGTGCTGCACCCCATCCCTGAGACCCTGCACAGCCAGACCCAGGGGCTCCTCTGACACCACACCTCCAGCTGGTGCAAGGCTGCACCCAAACCAGCCCCATCCCTCCGGTGCAGATGTCAAGAGTTTCCTCTCTCTCCTGTTTCTCCCTTACCCAAAGGCTTCAGCTCAATCCCTTTTTAGTTCCCTACCCAGCTGATTTTGCCCTGAAGACCTGCATTTTGGCTAATTTGATTCCTTACCCACCCAAACATGGACCTAGCACTTATTTTGGGGACACTGCCCTTCCAGTATTAGCCTCAGCCTCGTGAGAGCTGAATCAGGTGTCACAGTTAGGTCGTGGCTGCCTGGGCACACAAAGCCTTGCCTCTGCTTCACTTACCCATAATCCTTATCCTTCCTATGGAAGAATCCTGACAGGAACATGAGTCCCAGCAAAAGGCTGAAAATGATGAGACATCTGGTATGCCTGGAAAAAGAAGAGTTTCAGTGGAATTTTATCTGATAGTCCTTCCCTGAACCACCAAACTTTGCGTCTTGCCCTTGGGAATTTTAATCCCTGGGAGCACAGTTTTAGGTCTCAGTGGTGGCAGCCACCTTTGGCACCCCCCAGCTGTGTCAGCAGCTCTGGTGTTAGAGACAAGACAGTGAGAAATTGCATTTTCACTATTATTCTCCTAATTTTGGCCTTTGGCAAGACACAGTGTGCTTCACGCAGAGCCTAAGCTTTTTCCAACAGCCTTCCACTCTGCTATGCTGCCTTTTGTTTTGCTTTTGTTTTGCTTTTCTGGGGCTTTAGAGCTTATTCACTATTCAAACTCCCAGATTATTCACTAGAAAACGAACCCTTTGTAGGGCTATAAAGACTTTCCTGGTGAGAAACCTGAGCAGCTCCTGAAATCGCATCACTCCAGAAGATGGGGAACACAAAGAAACACTAAATGGAGGGGTTTTTTTTCAATATAACTGAGATTTTTCAAGTCACAAAATCAATTAATAACCAAACAAGGTTTGGTTTGTAATGATTAATTACACCCCACTTTGAAATGGAAGGGCTGGGTAACCACGAGGGGGAGAATGTTTTCCAGCACTAATTAGGCAGCCACCATGTATCAAAGTGTCCTTGCCTGTGGCAGGGGGTTGGAATGAGTCCGGGGGGTGTTTAAGGTCCCTTCCAATCAAAACCATCCGGTGATACCACGATCATCACCAGTGTCCTGCTGGGACACAGAGAGGATCTTTTGAAGGTGTTGACGCCCACCAAAAAGGAATTTTTCATCACCAAGCTTGATCTGACTTCTCTGATGTTTTAACTCATTGTGAATTCCATGTTTTCAGCCACCATTCCCAAAAATGCACTAGATATGGCTTTAAGTTGTTTTGGGAAGATATAATCCCAATTTACAGCATGGTATGGTGGCACTCATGGTTCCCACTCTCCCAAGGGAGCAAGCAAGGCTCCAAACCTTTCTCCAAGAGCCCTTCCCAAAGCCAGAGAACACCCTCAGCCACAGCTGGTACCAACCTCTGACAGGAATTTACAGCACAGCTTCTGCAGGAATAGTTTCAAGACATTGCTGCAGGCAAGATTTCATCAGGATTTCCTCAGTTTTGGTCCCAGGTTTGTTGGGGGGCAGGAGTGGGACAATCCCCTCTCCTTGGAGATGGGATGGGAGAAGGAAGGCAGAGGGACCCACAGGCAGCAAGCAGGCTCACATCAGCCACATGCAGCCCCTGCCAATCTTCTTGGTCTTTTCATTTAAGCTGAAAGATGTTGCTGGTGCAATAGTTTTCCACCACCCTGCCTGCCTGGAGGTCCTTCCTGAGCTGGTCTGGCAATGTCCTCCTTTTGCACCTTTTCTTAGGTGCAATTAGTGCCATAATGGTCCATTTATTTGTTTGGGTGGTGTCCCCAGAATGGCGACTCTGACTGATGTCTTATGGGGCAAACAAATCGCACACACCCGAAATCATCCTGAAGGCAGGTCAGGCTCACAACATGCTCTAGAAGGACTAGCAGCCCCTCCTGCTGCAAGAAGACAGGCTCTGTAGACCTCTGCATCCAGTCACCTTAAGGAATCTCACGATATTTTAATAATTGTTTACTTAAATAAAGGATTACAAAGTGCCTTCCTGCCTCCAAATCTCCAGACACGTCCAGCACAGTGAGTTTATCTCCAGCCTAACTGAATGCTCCCAGCAGACCTGTTTTGTCAGCCCCAAACCAAACAACAGCTGGGTTCTGCATCTGGAGACACAGTGGGGATAAAGGTCCAAATTATCTAGGCCAACACCATGGCGGTTTTAAGGAGCAAGAGTGACTGATTTCTGTGGCACGTGGTCCATGGAGGTGCCAGGATGCACAGAAATAACAGGCTTCTTGTCCCGGGGATGACAAATGATGCATTCTCATGGCACAGTGCTTGTTCCTCTGCCCGGGATGGAGGGATGGATGGAAAGATATCTGCCTTCCAGCTCAGGGAATGAGCAGGGAGTGGGGACATGGAGGGGACTCTGCTGCCCCTCAGCCCAGCAAAGGCATGCAATGCAGGGGAAGGGCCTGGGGCAGGGATTGAGGTGATCCCCAGGGAGGACTGTGGGAAAACAGAGAGGGGGGATGAGAGGAGGGGCTGCAGGTATGTGGGGTGCTGGTCAGTGCACTCGTGCAGCCAGGTCCTGACCCCCACAGGGGGTCCTGTCCACATCACCCCCTGGGCTTGGCCACCCACAGCTGCACTCACAGGGGCTGCCACTGGCTGCAGCATGGCAGTCCCACACACCGAGTGGGAATAAACCCCTCATGGACCAAACTGACAGGGGACTTTCTCTCCTCTTATGACAAATCTCCAACATTCCTGCAGACCTTGTCCTTGTAAACAAGTGAGCTCTTGAAATGATTCAGGGTTTTTACTGATAGAAACTGTGTAGGACCTTTACCCAGAGCATACACATCCTGTTTTAAACACAGTGCCACTGCTCTGCCAGGAAACAGCACAGGACCAGTGTGGGATTTGCTACCAGACCTTGCTTCCAGTGACAAGTGAGTAAGACATGGCAACTCCTTGAAAGTCTGCAGAGAACAACGATTACATTTCAGGCTCTATATTCTTCAAATACACCTCATGGAAGTTATGAGAATATCAAGATTTTGGACAGTGCTCTCAGGCACATGATGTGATTTTTTTGGGTTATCCTCTGCAGGGCCAGTAGGTGGACTCGATGATCCCTGTGGGTTCTTCCAGCTCAGGATTTTCTATGATTCTATGTCCTGCAAACCTGCACTGGGGTTTCACCCCCTGTTAGGCTCCCACCACCCTGGCACACCTCTGTGAGAGCCTTAAAGACTGTTCCCTTAGTGTCATACACCCCACCCTTTGCCACAACACTGCGAGTCTCTGACCTGAACAGAATCACGGAATCATTTAGGCTGGAAAAGACCTCCAAGATCTGGCAAAGCAAAGCTCAAGAGAGGAAGCCCCAACTCGAGCACCGCGCTGAAGTTACCTAAGCATCCGTGACACGCAACCGGCCTGGGAGCCCTTGGAGGAAGCACCTGGGAGCTGACTGTGAAAATACACAGTTCTTCTAAGAAGCCAAAAAACCTGCGGAGCGCTCGGCAGGGCTGGCACCGGAGGCTCCACTTGCCTTTCCAACCTGTGCTGTGCCATCTCCCAGCTGTGAAGAACACATGGAAAACTGCCTCTCTTGGAGGTGCTGCTACGGATGCTTTAAGGCTTGGGGCAACCTCCTTGTTGCTTTGGCTTAAGCAGAAAAGAACAGACCTCTGCGGCAACTTCACAAGGTTCTTTCAAATTAAAAGACCTGGAACACCGGAAAGAATGATTCGTGGCAAAATTAATCCCTTACACTGGAGCAAACTGGAACTAAGTCTATAGGTTATTAACAACTTCCAGGGATTACCTGAACCAGAACTTCCCGCAAAGTGAGTTTTAATTCAGCACCCCGAGCACTCAGCTCCCTCTGCCCTTACCTTGGAGTGCATCCAGGGCTTTTCATGCTGCTTCGAGCTGGGAAATGTCTCATTTGCAAATCGATTCCAGTACCCTTTTCATCTCCTCTGCCTCTTAGTGCCCACGTACCTATTTCTAGCATCCCCTCCCGGCTATAAATGGGTAGGTGAGGACACAGGGAGTGGCTAGGTGTGTTTCCCAGAGTGGGTGGGAGTTAATTAATAAGCCATGGAAAGCGCTGGTGTGGCAGGACATCAACAGAGGTATAATAAGCTGCCCCAGGACACAGCATTTGCAACAGCTTTGCAGGGAAGGAAAGGTTTGGCAGGGACTCCTTAGTGGGGACCACCCTCTCTCCTGCCTGCAGGAGGGAGGTGTGGGGGGCTCACAGCAGGATCCAGGCAGGGTGCTGGTGGTGTGGGGCTGGTGGAGGGCACTGGTCCCTTTGTGACCCTGAATGTCACAGCGCCTGCTGTGCCTTTCCTCTGCTTCTTGCACAGTGGGTTGGCACTGTAACTCCCTGCCAGACGCATTCAGTAAGAGGAATTTGGGGACATCGGCAAAACAGGAATGGTGCTCACCTACTGAAAATTCCTCTTAAAACATTTAGACTTCCCACTTTTTGGTAAAAATGGAATTATTGTAGCTGGAGGTTAAGGGCTTAGACACTTGGCTGCATCCAGGCCTTGGTGGGGGGAGAGCTCTTGCCCATAATTGAGCCTTATTTTATGGTTTGTTTGCAAAATCACTTCTTGGTGCTAACTACCATTACAACCTGCATTATGCAGGAATTTAAAATTCCACCGAGGCTGCTGTACACCAGCACTAGACAAAGTGGGTTTGACAGTTGCAAATTGCCCTGGTGAGAGCAGGATTTGTCCTGCAGCTCTGGAAGTGGGGTCATCTCCCTCTTCCCTACACAGAGATGAAGCCAATGCTCTCCTCATTTGGGCAAGAGTGTAGCCACATCTCCCAGCCTGGATCAGGGGGGATTAAGTTGTTGCTTTTTGTCTTTTATGGCCATACCATGTTTCATGCATCTCCTGGTGGTCCCCTTTCCCTCCCCACCCACGGTGTCAGCTTTCCAAACCTCGTATGCTGCGTCCCAACCTGCCCACCAACAGCCAAGTCCTCAGAACTCCTTCACCCATGTTGCTCTGTTTTCAGAGTGCCCAAAACCTCAGCATTTCCTTTTAAATCACAGCTTCCCCAGGCCAGCCCCAACCCCAGTGCTTACCAAGATCAGAGATTAGCAAGGTGTAAGGTTGCTTTCCCTGAGTTTCTTGCTAGAACACGAGTCAATGTGCTCTTTTACGGAGAATTTCTAGGGTTACTCTTGGCACAGCACCCACTGCTGCTGGCAAAGGGGGCACATTTCATGGACCTCTTTCTCCTGTTACGTTGCACACGTCAGCTGTGCTGCTTCTCACTCAGGAGCTGGTACAGCCCATGGATCACAAAAGCCCATTTTTTGCACTTTTACAATTCGTTCGTTGCTCTCTCCTGGGCTGTTGCACACGAATCATTAGGTTTGGTTACGCTAAAAAAACCCCAAAACGATGCCAGGCAGGAATATTTGATTTCATATGGGAGTGGGCTGCTCGGAGGCCAGGGCAGTGAAGGTCAGCCAGCTGATGCAGGATTAGTGAGCTGGGGCACTGGACTCACAGCTCCAGACTGGCTCTGCTCCATGTTGGGGGGCAGTACTCTCACAGTGGGATGGGGACAATCAGAGGGGTGAATGTGCAAAAACTCATGGGTTGTGATAAAGGGAAGCAAAGCTTCCTATTCTGGGAGAGCTGGGTTCCATCATGTGTAAAGGTGACTTGGGAATGCCCTCCTTCCTCCCTCTTCCCCAGCTTTCATTGCTGAGCATGGGTCCTACACGTGGGATATCCCGGTGGTCAGGCGGGGTCAGCCGTGGTCCTTCCCAGCTCCCTGCACACCCCAGCCCCTCACAGGTGGGGCAGGGTGAGGTACAGAAAAAACTCACACAGTGTTGCAAGCACCACTCAGCAACAGCTACAACATCCCAGTGCTTCCATCACTGCTCTAAACAGAGCCCCAGACCAGCTACTGTGAAGAAAATTAACTCTATCCCAGCCAAAAACCAGTACAGAGAGAGAGGCAAAAGCAGTACAGAGAGCCAAGTGATTCCTCACTGTGCCAGAAGACCACTGCTCCGAAGTGTGGAGAATCCACATCATCCTAACACTCCAGTCTGTCCCAGAAAAATATAGAATTTTGGAAAAGAAGTCCCTGCCACAATGATTCTTTGTAAAAATACACACACATGTACCCACCCTGTCTCTCCCCCCCTGTACAACAGTGCACCACTATTTGAAAGCATCATTGAGAACATGGAACAGGAGAGTAATGCTGGTGTTTAAGGTCTAGGAAAGCTCCTGTAAAATTACCCTACAATAACTCCTCCCTTCTATTCCCTCAGGGAACTGCTCTATGGTTTAGTGAAACAGTAAAACTTACATGGAGCTTTAGGATCTTCATGTGTAAGGAAGATGGTTAAGTGGAGCTGTGCCAGAACTTCCCTGGCCACAGCACTAGGTTGTGTGTCAGCCTTGACTCCTTCCCGAGCACTCTCTCCATGTGTAGCTGAAAAGCAGGAGTATGGAAAGTTCTGCTTCCCAAAAAGAGCTTTTCACGTGGAAAGCCTGTATTTTAAACAGTGATGGTCAGTAGTTTGGGGGAAAAAAGAGAAAGAATGGTGTAGGAAAAAGGCAGAGAGTATAAACAGTCTGATTTGGAAAGAACGAGCTGCATCAGCTTATCCTAGCAGAAAACAAATCCTGCATATTTTTCCCTCAAAAACATCATAGACTTTTCATATTTTTGCATCACCCCACATGCAAGCAGCACAGGCTGACTGTGTTCCATGGGCTGTCTCCTCCTTCACAGAACCACAGGATTCTAGAATCATTTAGGTTGGAAAAGACCTCCAAGGTCATCGAGTCCAACCTGTGCCTGATGCCCACCTTGTCAACCAGAGCTGAGCACTGAGTGCTCATTCCTTGTCATTCCTTGGACACCTCCAGGCATGGGGACTCCACCACCTCCCTGGGCAACCCCTTCTGATGTGTAACTCTTTCTGTGGAGAAATTCTTCCTTTTTGCTAATGACAGCATTGTTCACTCTGCTTCACCCAAGAAGAGGTCGATCAGCTCCTCTCAAACTCATCCTGAGGAATAGAGAGGTGGGGAGTGTCCCATAGCAGAGAGAAAGAGTTGAAGGGACAAGATGGGAGGGCAGGACTAGATACTGGCAGGTAATGCCACGTAAGACACGGAGGTATTCCTGTCAAAAGCATCCACGTGGCCAAGCTGAGAGACATGTGATCTTAGAATTGTATCGGGAAGGGTGTTTGCAACACGGTGCTGAGCATAAGCCAGCATCCTTAATGCAATCCAACAGCTCCCAGCGTTGTAGAGACTGTGTTCTGGGCTAAAACAGAAGAAAACTGACTCCCCAGGAGGATTCCTCTTCCAAGGAAAAGGCTCTGGATGGAACTTTTATGTCACTGCTCTGCAAAGGAGCCAAAATCACTGAAAAGCAGCTAGCAGAGAATACAGCTACTGTGTCCTACCCTCATGGCATCCAGTAAGGCTTCCCAAACCAGTATATGGGAGTAAAAACCACCAATGAGCACCCTTTGAGCACAGCCAGCTTCTGACCTGTCCCACAGCCCAGGCAGCTGCTCTGTGCCTTGCCAGCTTGTCCAGGAGAATCACAGAATCATAGGATGGTTTGAGTTGGAAACTCGCCTTGTTCCGACCCCCCTGCCATGGGCAAGGGGACACCTTCCATTGGACCAGGCCGCTCAAACCCCTGCCCACCCTGGACAAGACTATGGGAAAGAGCATCAAAGGCTTTGCTGACACCCACGTGTAGGGCTTTCCCCATGTGTAGGGGCAGCCAGACAGACACCACCGTCCACCTGGGTGATAAAAGAAGAAAATACTAAAGCAAAAGTATTCTGGTCCTAAGCTAGCCAGAGCTAAGATTAGTGTGTGTGAAAAGAATCACAAGGTCAAGCTGGAAGGCCCCTTGAGGCATAACTGTTCTTTGTGAATGAAAGCAGTCACGTGGGCATGTGTGGGGATAAGAAACATGTGGCTTGCCTTGAGGTCCTCTATATACATGGGGTAAAAAATGTATATATGGGGTAATAAAGTTATGAGGTAGAGCTGCCTGGACAACATCTGTCTCTGCTTGGATTCATCAGCTGCACCCATGTTGACAGAAAGTGTCATTTTGTTGTAGAAGGTGATCAGGTTATTTACTTTTGGCAAATCCCTAGGCTCTTCCCAATCATCACCTTCGTTTGGACACAACAGAGCCTGGGTTAAGAGTGACAGGTGTTGGGAAGTGCGGATGTGACAAGCAAGCACCAAGCAGACCAGATGACTCACTGCCATCTGTAGCGGAAGGGTGACAATGTGGTTTTGTACAACAAACCATAAATTACGATGTCTTTTGTTATTTCAAAACAGACTGTAGCAAACAAAACCAAAACCCCAAACCAGCAAAACCCACCACGTTAGAATAGAACAGTCCAGCTGGAAGGGACCTACGACAATCATCTGGTCCAAGTGCCCGACCAGTTCAGGGCTGTCCTAAAGTTACAGCATTGTCCAGGTGCCTCTGGAACACTGACAGTCTGGGGGCATCAACCACCTCTCCAGGAAGCCTGTTACAGTATTTGGTTGTTCAGTCTGTAATGTCCAGTCTGAACCTCCCCTGGCACAGCCTTGAGCCGTTCCCATCAGATCAGCACCTCCCTCTCCACGTCCCCTCCTCAGGAGGCTGCAGAGAGTGATGAGGTCGCCCCTCAGCCTCCTTCTCTCCAAACCAGACAAACCCAGAGCCCTCAGCCTCCTCCCAGGACACGTCTTCCAGCCCTGGCACCAGCATGGTTGTCCTTCTCTGGACACATTCAAGTACCTTCACATCATCTTTAATGATGGGGCCCACCCTGGCACACAGGGCTCCAGGTGAGGCCACACTAGTGCTGAGCACAGTGGGACCATCCCCTCTCCTGCCCTGCTGGCTGTGCCATGTGAGATGCCCCCAAGATGCCTTTTGCCCTCCTGGCTACCACTGGTTCCTACTGAGCTGCTGCCAACC